TGAGTGAGTGAGTGAGTGGGTGAGTGAGTGAGTGGGTGGGTGGGTGGGTGAGTGAGTGAGTGGGTGGGTGAGTGAGTGGGTGGGTGGGTGGGTGAGTGGGTGAGTGAGTGAGTGGGTGAGTGAGTGAGTGGGTGGGTGGGTGAGTGAGTGGGTGGGTGGGTGGGTGAGTGGGTGGGTGAGTGGGTGAGTAGGTGAGTGGGTGAGTGAGTGGGTGGGTGGGTGGGTGAGTGAGTGGGTGAGTGAGTGAGTGGGTGGGTGGGTGGGTGAGTGAGTGAGTGGGTGGGTGAGTGAGTGGGTGGGTGGGTGGGTGAGTGGGTGAGTGAGTGAGTGAGTGGGTGAGTGAGTGAGTGGGTGGGTGAGTGAGTGGGTGGGTGGGTGGGTGAGTGGGTGAGTGAGTGAGTGAGTGGGTGAGTGAGTGAGTGGGTGGGTGGGTGAGTGAGTGAGTGGGTGGGTGGGTGAGTGAGTGGGTGGGTGGGTGGGTGAGTGGGTGGGTGAGTGGGTGAGTGGGTGAGTGAGTGAGTGGGTGGGTGGGTGAGTGAGTGGGTGGGTGGGTGGGTGAGTGGGTGGGTGAGTGGGTGAGTAGGTGAGTGGGTGAGTGAGTGGGTGGGTGGGTGGGTGAGTGGGTGGGTGGGTGGGTGAGTGGGTGAGTGAGTGAGTGAGTGGGTGAGTGAGTGAGTGGGTGGGTGGGTGAGTGAGTGGGTGGGTGGGTGGGTGAGTGGGTGAGTGGGTGAGTGAGTGGGTGGGTGGGTGGGTGAGTGGGTGAGTGAGTGGGTGAGTGAGTGAGTGAGTGGGTGAGTGGGTGGGTGAGTGAGTGGGTGGGTGAGTTAGTGGGTTGGTGGGTGAGTGAGTGGGTGGGTGGGTGAGTGGGTGAGTGAGTGGGTGGGTGAGTGGGTGGGTGGGTGGGTGAGTGGGTGGGTGGGTGGGTGAGTGAGTGGGTGAGTGGGTGGTGGGTGAGTGAGTGGGTGAGTGGGTGGGTGGGTGAGTGGGTAAGTGGGTGAGTGAGTGGGTGGGTGTGTCTGTGTGTGTGTCTGTGTGTGTCTGTGTGTGTGTCTGTGTGTGTGTGTGTCTATGTGTGTGTCTGTCTGTGTGTGTCTGTGTGTGTGTCTGTGTGTGTGTCTGTGTGTGTGTGTGTCTGTGTGTGTGTCTATGTGTGTGTCTGTGTGTGTGTCACTGTGTCTGTGTGTGTCTCTGTGTGTGTCTGTGTGTGTCTGTGTGTGTGTCTATGTGTGTCTGTGTGTGTGTGTCTGTGTGTGTCTGTGTGTGTGTCTGTGTGTGTGTGTGTGTCTGTGTGTGTGTGTTGTTGTAGATTCACGAGGCGAGTGGCACGTGGTCTCTCAGCGTGTTGTTGCGAGGTGAGCCCGAGATCCGCCTCCAGCGAGACCACGTGCTCCTGGGGGACTTCCGGTGAGACTCGACGTGCCACGCTTTGCTATCGGTGAAAACAACGTCGTGATCACCCACAGCGTCGTAACAATGATCAGCCACGGCCAAAGAATTCGTTCCAAAATTCTAAACAAACACAAGATCCAGGTCCGCTTCAACACAGTGCACAAAATCCCTGACCTGATCCCATCCGTGAAGGATGTCATCGCTGATTTACAGTACCCCGGGGTTTACAAATTGAGTTGTACCTGCGGTGATCGCTATATCGGGGGGACGAAGCGACATGCCTCTGACCGAATTCGCGATCACAAATCGGATTTGAAACACGGCAGAACGAATTCTTCGGCCGTGGCTGATCACTGTTGCCACGCTGTTGGTGATCACGACGTTGTTTTATCAGATAACAAAGTGCTACACGAACCTCCCGGCTACTACCAAAAAGATTTGTCCATGAAGCCATCCACACACACACACACACGCAAACACAGATGCAACTTCAACCGAGGAGGATGGTTTTAAATCGAGCGACTTTTGGAAAGATGTCATCGACCAAGCCGAAAACTTCAGCTGGCTGATAATTATTACACGGCCATTTGCGTCTCTACCAGGATCGTACTCGCCCCCAGCAGAATAACAAAACGTGTTTTTTACGTGAAAGTTCACCATCACCCTCCCCCAGAACCCCCAGCAGAATAACAAAACGTGTTTTTTAACGTGCAAGTTCACCATCACTCTCCCCCAGAACCCCCAGCAGAATAACAAAACGTGTTTTTTAACGTGCAGGTTTACCATCACTCTCCCCCAGAACCCCCAGCAGAATCACAAAACGTGTTTTTTAACGTGCAAGTTCACCATCACCCTCCCCCAGAACCCCCTGCAGAATAACAAAACGTGTTTTTTAACGTGCGAGTTCACCATCACCCTCCCCCAGAAACCCCAGCAGAATAACAAAACGTGTTTTTTAACGTGCAGGTTCACCATCACTCTCCCCCAGAACCCCCAGCAGAATAACAAAACGTGTTTTTTAACGTGCGAGTTCACCATCACCCTCCCCCAGAACCCCCTGCAGAATAACAAAACGTGTTTTTTAACGTGCGAGTTCACCATCACCCTCCCCCAGAACCCCCAGCAGAATAACACGAGGCGGCTTAACTCAGCCCCCCCACCCACGTCCCTTCCTGCCCCCCCCCCCTTAACCTCTATATAATCTCGGGTGTTCCAGAGCTGTTCACTTGATACAGCTACATTTGCTGTGTCCGTTCCGCCCGAAGACGGAAGCTTGTGTTGCCTGCGAAACGTCGTGATTTAATTGAGTTGTTTTCATTTATTTTACTTGATTTTACCTACGCGACTTTACCGAAGAAAACTCCAAAAAGTATGAATCCTTGCAGTTACGAACGCTTCAAATCTAGAATCCCCTGTCACTACCTCCCGTGGCCACCAGTCCACTCACACTGCAGACTGACTCCCCTGTCATTACCTCCCGTGACCACTAGTCCACTCACACTCACAGCTGACTCCCCTGTCATTACCCCCGTAGCCACCAGTCCCCTCACACTCACAGCTGACTCCCCTGTCATTACCCCCGTAGCCACTAGTCCACTCACACTCACAGCTGACTCCCCTGTCATTACCCCCGTAGCCACTAGTCCACTCACACTCACAGCTGACTCCCCTGTCATTACCCCCGTAGCCACCAGTCCCCTCACACTCACAGCTGACTCCCCTGTCATTACCCCCGTGACCACCAGTCCACTCACACTCACAGCTGACTCCCCTGTCATTACCTCCCGTGACCACCAGTCCACTCACACTCACAGCTGACTCCCCTGTCACTACCTCCAGTGTCCACCAGTCCCCTCACACTCACAGCTGACTCCCCTGTCATTACCTACCGTGGCCACTAGTCCACTCACACTCACAGCTGACTCCCCTGTCATTACCTACCGTGGCCACTAGTCCACTCACACTCACAGCTGACTCCCCTGTCATTACCTCCCGTGACCACCAGTCCCTTCACACTCACAGCTGACTCCCCTGTCACTACCTCCCGTGGCCACCAGTCCACTCACACTCACAGCTGACTCCCCTGTCATTACCTACCGTGGCCACTAGTCCACTCACACTCACAGCTGACTCCCCTGTCATTACCTACCGTGGCCACTAGTCCACTCACACTCACAGCTGACTCCCCTGTCATTACCTCCCGTGACCACAAGTCCCTTCACACTCACAGCTGACTCCCCTGTCATTACCTACCGTGGCCACCAGTCCACTCACACTCACAGCTGACTCCCCTGTCATTACCCCACGTGACCACCAGTCCACTCACACTCACAGCTGACTCCCCCTGTCATTACCCCCCGTGACCACCAGTCCCCTCACACTCACAGCTGACTCCCCTGTCACTACCTCCCATGGCCACCAGTCCACTCACACTCACAGCTGACTCCCCTATCATTACCTCCCGTGGCCACCAGTCCCCTCACACTGCAGACTGACTCCCCCTGCCATTACCTCCCATGACCACCAGTCCCATCACACTCACAGCTGACTCCCCTGTCACTACCTCCCATGGCCACCAGTCCACTCACACTCACAGCTGACTCCCCTATCATTACCTCCCGTGGCCACCAGTCCCCTCACACTGCAGACTGACTCCCCCTGTCATTACCTCCCATGACCACCAGTCCCATCACACTCACAGCTGACTCCCCTGTCATTACCTCGCGTGACCACCAGTCCACTCACACTCACAGCTGACTCCCCTGTCATTACCCCCGTAGCCACCAGTCCACTCACACTCACAACTGACTCCCCTGTCATTACCCCCGTAGCCACTAGTCCCTTCACACTCACAGCTGACTCCCCTGTCATTACCCCCCGTGGCCACCAGTCCCTTCACACTCACAGCTGACTCCCCTGTCATTACCCCCCGTGGCCACCAGTCCCCTCACACTCACAACTGACTCCCCTGCCATTACCTCCCGTGACCACTAGTCCCCTCACACTCACAGCTGACTCCCCTGTCATTACCTCCCGTAGCCACCAGTCCACTCACACTCACAGCTGACTCCCCTGTCATTACCTCCCATGGCCACCAGTCCCCTCACACTCACAGCTGACTCCCCTGTCATTACCCCCCGTGGCCACCAGTCCCTTCACACTCACAGCTGACTCCCCTGTCATTACCCCCCGTGGCCACCAGTCCACTCACACTCACAGCTGACTCCCCTGTCACTACCTCCCTTGGCCACTAGTCCACTCACACCGCAGGCTGACTCCCCTGTCATTACCCCCTGTAGCCACTGGAGAGAGAGAGACAGAGAGACACAGAGAGACAGAGAGACACAGAGAGACAGACAGACACAGAGAGACAGAGAGAGACAGAGGAAGACACATAGACACAGAGACACAGAGACACAGAGAGACACAGAGAGACAGAGACAGAGAGACAGAGTGACAGAGAGACACAGAGAGACAGAGAGACACAGAGACACAGAGAGAGACAGAGAGACAGAGATACACATAGAGACACAGACAGATAGAGAGACACAGAGACAGTGAGACACAGAGACACAGAGACAGAGAGACAGAGAGACAGAGACACAGAGAGACAGAGACACAGAGAGACAGAGACACAGAGAGAGACAGTGAGACACAGAGACAGAAACACAGAGAGACAGAGACACAGAGAGAGACAGAGAGACAGAGAGACACAGACAGACAGTGAGACACAGAGACAGAGAGACACAGAGACACAGAGAGAGAGACAGAGAGACAGAGAGACACAGAGACACAGAGACAGCGAGACACAGAGAGACAGAGAGACAGAGAGACACAGACAGACAATGAGACACAGAGACAGCGAGACACAGAGAGACAGAGAGACAGAGAGACACAGACACAGCGCCACTGTGAGCCCTGTGGGTGAGTGAGTGAGTGAGTGGGTGAGTGAGTGGGTGAGTGGGTGGGTGAGTGGGTGAGTGGGTGGGTGAGTGGGTGAGTGGGTGAGTGGGTGGGTGAGTGGGTGAGTGGGTGGGTGAGTGGGTGAGTGGGTGGGTGAGTGGGTGAGTGGGTGAGTGGGTGGGTGAGTGGGTGAGTGGGTGAGTGGGTGGGTGAGTGAGTGGGTGGGTGAGTGGGTGGGTGAGTGGGTGAGTGAGTGGGTGAGTGAGTGAGTGAGTGGGTGAGTGGGTGGGTGAGTGGGTGAGTGGGTGGGTGAGTGGGTGAGTGGGTGAGTGGGTGGGTGAGTGGGTGAGTGGGTGGGTGAGTGGGTGAGTGGGTGGGTGAGTGGGTGAGTGGGTGAGTGGGTGGGTGAGTGAGTGGGTGGGTGAGTGGGTGAGTGGGTGGGTGAGTGGGTGAGTGGGTGGGTGAGTGGGTGAGTGAGTGGGTGAGTGAGTGGGTGAGTGAGTGAGTGAGTGGGTGAGTGAGTGGGTGAGTGGGTGAGTGAGTGGGTGAGTGAGTGGGTGAGTGAGTGGGTGAGTGGGTGAGTGAGTGGGTGAGTGAGTGGGTGAGTGAGTGGGTGAGTGAGTGGGTGAGTGAGTGGGTGAGTGAGTGAGTGAGTGGGTGAGTGGGTGAGTGAGTGGGTGAGTGAGTGGGTGAGTGAGTGGGTGAGTGAGTGAGTGGGTGAGTGGGTGAGTGGGTGGGTGAGTGGGTGAGTGGGTGGGTGAGTGGGTGAGTGGGTGAGTGGGTGAGTGGGTGGGTGAGTGGGTGAGTGGGTGGGTGAGTGGGTGAGTGGGTGGGTGAGTGAGTGGGTGGGTGAGTGGGTGAGTGGGTGGGTGAGTGGGTGAGTGGGTGAGTGGGTGGGTGAGTGAGTGGGTGAGTGAGTGGGTGAGTGAGTGGGTGAGTGGGTGAGTGGGTGGGTGAGTGGGTGAGTGGGTGGGTGAGTGGGTGAGTGGGTGGGTGAGTGAGTGGGTGGGTGAGTGGGTGAGTGGGTGGGTGAGTGGGTGAGTGGGTGGGTGAGTGGGTGAGTGAGTGGGTGAGTGAGTGGGTGAGTGAGTGAGTGAGTGGGTGAGTGAGTGGGTG